CAGAAAGCAATGTTCACTATTTAATTGTAATGCACTAATGCAGCTGTACGTTAGATTTTCGATAAATTTCACGCTAAAATTTACCTAGCAAAAGGTTGCAAAATATTGAAACTGAAATTATTTTCTACTTATATACACTAAAATCTACCAAAAAGTGATGGGCCATTAGTTTTAGCTGATCTTCCCTCCTATGACACACCCTAATGGGCATGGTTGTTATAATCATGGTCGTGGTTGTTATAATCATGTTCGTGGTTGTTATAATCATGGTCGTGGTTGTTATAATTATGGTCGTGGTTGTGGTTGTTATAATCATGGTCGTGGTTGTTATAATCATGGTCGTGGTTGTTATGATCATAGTCGTGATTGTTATAATCATGGGCGTGGTTGTTATAATCATGTTCGTGGTTTGTATAATCATGGTCGTGGTTGTTATAATTATGGTTTTGTGGTTGTTATAATCATGGTCGTGGTTGTTATAATCATGGTCGTGGTTATGATCATAGTCGTGATTGTTATAATCATGGGCATGGTTGTTATTATCATGGTCGTGGTTGTTATAATCATGTTCGTGGTTGTTATAATCATGGTCGTGGTTGTTATAATTATGGTCGTGGTTGTGGTTGTTATAATCATGGTCGTGGTTGTTATAATCATGGTCGTGGTTGTTATGATCATAGTCGTGATTGTTATAATCATGGGCGTGGTTGTTATAATCATGGTCGTGGTTATAATTATGGTCGTGGTTGTTATGATCATAGTCGTGATTGTTATAATCATGGTCGTGGTTGTTATAATCATGGTCGTGGTTGTTATAATCATTGTCGTTTGTGTGTTTAATCATGGTCGTGGTTTTATTATCATGGTCGTTGTTTTATAATCATGGTCGTGGTTGTTATAATCATGGTCGTGGTTGTTATAATCTTGGTCGTGGTTGTTATAATCATGGTCGTGGTTGTTATAATTATGGTCGTGGTTGTTATAATCATGGTCGTGGTTGTGGTTGTTATAATCATGGTCGTGGTTGTTATAATCATGCAGTGGTTGTTATAATCATGGTCGTGGTTGTGGTTGTTATAATCATAGTCGTGATTGTTAATCATGGGCATGGTTGTTATAATCATGTTCGTGGTTGTTATAATCATGGTCGTGGTTGTTATAATCATGGTCGTGGTTGTTATAATTATGGTCGTGGTTGTTATAATCATGGTCGTGGTTGTGGTTGTTATAATCATGGTCGTGGTTGTTATAATCATGGCCGTGGTTATTATAATCATGGTCGTGGTTGTGGTTGTTATAATCATGGTCGTGGTTGTTATAATCATGGGCATGGTTGTTATAATCATAGTCGTGGTTGTTATAATCATGGTCGTGGTTGTTATAATCATGGTCGTGGTTGTTATAATCATGGTCTTGGTTGTTATAATCATGGTCGTGGTTGTTATAATCATTTTCGTGAGTGTTATACCGTAATCATTTTCGTGAGTGTTATAATCATGGTCGTGGTTGTTATAATCATGGTCGTGGTTGTTATAATCATAGTCGTGGTTGTTATAATCATGGTCGTGGTTGTTATAATTATGGTCGTGGTTGTTATAATCATGGTCGTGGTTGTTATAATCATGGTCGTGGTAGTTATAATCATAGTCGTGGTTGTTATAATCATGGTCGTGGTTGTTATAATTATGGTCGTGGTTGTTATAAATCTATTTGGTTTGTTATAATCATGGTCGTGATTGTTATAATTATGGTCGTGGTTGTTATAATCATGGTCGTGGTTGTTATATTTATGGTCGTGGTTGTTATAATCTTGGTCGTGGTTGTTATAATTATGGTCGTGGTTGTTATAATCATGGTCGTGGTTGTTATAATCATGGTCGTGGTAGTTATAATCATAGTCGTGGTTGTTATAATCATGGTCGTGGTTGTTATAATTATGGTCGTGGTTGTTATAATCATGGTCGTGGTTGTTATATTCATGGTCGTGGTTGTTATAATTATGGTCGTGGTTGTTATAATCATGGTCGTGGTTGTTATAATTATGGTCGTGGTTGTTATAATCATGGTCGTGGTTGTTATATTCATGGTCGTGGTTGTTATAATATTGGTCGTGGTTGTTATAATTATGGTCGTGGTTGTTATAATCATGGTCGTGGTAGTTATAATCATAGTCGTGGTTGTTATAATCATGGTCGTGGTAGTTATAATCATAGTCGTGGTTGTTATAATCATGGTCGTGGTTGTTATAATCATATTCGTGGTTGTTATAATCATGGTCGTGGTTATAATTATGGTCGTTTTTGTTATAATCATGGTCGTGGTTGTTATAATCATGGTCGTGGTTGTTATAATCATGGTCGTGGTTGTTACAATCATGGTCCTGGTTGTTATAATCATGGTCCTGGTTGTTATAATCATGGTCGTGGTCGTGATACTTACAGTATCTAACATACTATAAGAAGGAATAGAATGAAGGTTAGAATAATTAGTTAAAGACATATCTGATGCAGCTATGGTCAATTTGGTGTTATTCTTGTTTATAAATGCCTTCTAATCTGTCTCAAGTCTATCAGTCCTGTCCATTGCCATCCCAACTGTCTGTTCATCTGCGTGGTGTTTGAATGTAAGCCCATCTTTACTAATGTGAACCAGTCAGTCAGCTGTCTGTCTGTCATGTTAGTTGCCATATTGTCTATTTGTGCATGTATGAATCTGTCTATTTTTGTTAACCCCCTGTCTGTTTCACTGTCTATTTTCACCCTGTGTCTATTGTAGCCACCTTCTCCATGCATTCCTGTTATTATCTTTTTATCTCTTCTCCTTTTCCATGAGCCACAGGAATAAGTATACACTGTAGTGTAAGGTCGTCTGGTAACATTGAAACTGTGCATCCAGACGCATGATGAAACTCAGCTCCCCCCATCTGTTATCTCTAACTATTTTCTGTTTCCCCTTCTTTATTTATTCTTCTATTTACTCCTCTTCCTTCCTTTACTAATCCAAAAGCATTAAAAAAACGTAGGCTAAGAAAAAAAGTGGGGGAGGAGGAGGGAGCCGTACGATAACTGCGATAACTGCAATCGTGGGCTGGGTGCGCCAAGTAGGTAGACTTGCAACGTTTTCCAGCGTAAATAAAATGGTTATGTAATGGCTTCCTAAAGAAACCATCGATATGGGACCAGGTTTGTTCCACTGTACGAATTTTTTGCGATTTTTCCACCAAGTTTGATGAAAAACGATTGTGCCGTTTCGGCTGCCCAGAGCAGACACACGCACACACGCCTAGTCCTATAGTATATTAGATTTGGCTATCTTATTGTGGTAAACGACGTCTTAAACGAAACTGAGCAAATTTACCAGATCCGAATTAATTCAATTTATTAAAGGTAGAATCACACTGGGCAAAATTTCATAGGTTTTCTGTCTAAAAACTGACTTTCCTAATTACACGCACAATTGTAGTATCGTTTTATTTAAGGTCTTCTTGAGGTTCAATGGATGTCTGAAATCCCACAACATTGCATTCTCTCAGTTTATCAACAAAGGAAGTGTCAGTCTTTTACTTACTTTTTACATCTCTTGTTTAAGTAGTTCGTGGGGCTTGAGAGTCCACGCTAGCCGCGGGTTGATGTAAAGAAAAATCAAATGAAATGTCAACTGTAATTTTCATTTGTATCATTACATATATATTTCCCCCACTTTCATAATTTCAAGGATTTCTTTCTTCTCGTCTCGTTAACTTAAAATGTCGACTGTTCCATACTCGAAGTCCGTGTACAGTAAGACTAATTGAGTGTTTTGCAACTACCCACCCAGTGACAGAACAGCAACCTACATCAGTCTGAGGCGTTTGGAGGCAATTGATTCGGACCGACATGGGCAGCACAGACTCCAACAGCTGCCCAACTTCAACAGCTGTCGTACTGTACATGTGTTTCGCTGTGTTGTTTCTCACACACCTGGTTTACCTCCGTTGCTCAAAACATCCCGGCATATTTATAGAACATTCTGGTAACCCGTGTCGGCCCCTCCTGGAACAATTTCGCATAGCTTTTACATGCTTTTACTTTTATCCTCTTCCCTATTGTCGTCTTGTTAGCCGCTTGGGCTGTCGGTCACGTCGCTGTTATGTGATACCCACTGTTAGCAAGTGCGGGACATGCACGATTTTTGCACATTTCATTTCCTTCTGTTCTACTCTGTTCCTGGGAGAATCTCGGTGTCAATGTTATGTATTTTTCTTTTATGTTCATGCTTAAACAACTAACTATGATTATGTAATAGGTGTTTACTGGGCTTATATATAACGTCAACATTCAGTGACAGAAATTGAGGTTTTATGGGAGACTTATATGGTGGGCGTCTTCCAAGTTACTTTGACCAGGGATGAATACCTCACAATATTATTCATGTTTACGAAATTTATGTTAGAAGGTTGAGGAGTGTTCAATAATATAGAGGCACAGTTTGAATGTTCCTGCTACCACGTAGGATACGAAATTTTTTTTTGAAAAATAAAAGTTGATTTACCCAAATACCAGTCTTAAATGTTGAATTCAAACATGTAAGATAAACATCACAAATATATACAAAATTTATTCGAAATTTAAATTAGAAATACGCGTTGGATAACTAGAGTAGTGATTCAGGTAATATAATTGGCACTGGCCGGGTGTTGCTTACATCAAAACACAGCCTAACATCATCCAGTGTTTGGGGTCGTTACATGCATTCCCAACCGAATGTAATACAATTATCTGGATTTATTTATTTATTTTATATTTGTTTTAATATTCTAGCAATTGAATCTCGTCAATAGTGATACCTTCAAGTTATAGAGGAAGATGAGTATTTATATATTTTATCTCTTACAAACACTATTGTATCGATTTTCGTTTTAAGAATTTTGATAGATCCAGAGCGTCACCACAAAAATGCCGTCACTTTTGGCGGAATATAAGTGTGTAGGTGACGTATATAGCAACTGGCTGCCGTTTTTATTACGTCAGTAGCAGCGAGGACTTCATTAAGGGAGGAAGAAGGGGTGGAGTAGTATATTTCACAGTATCAAGTCTTCGAGTGAGGATAAATGAGGAAGGAGACGTGGGAACCTCCGCTATAGAAACTTGAACTGCTTCGTCACCCTCCAGAGCAACGTGAGCGGGCGCGGAGATCTCCAACTGGGGATAACTCGCCCCAGGACTTTGGAACCTCTCGGGTACTTCCTCTACAGACAGTAGTATGACGTCTGTCCCTGTGAGGAAGGGACCAAGTGGAGTCCTGGTGTTATCATGAGCGGGGACAGGAGTATCAGAAACTACTGTGTAGTCTGTGTCAGTATGTGTGCGAGTCTGGTGTTCTTCCTCAGCTGGTGTGAGCAAAGTGGCCTTACTCAAATATGGCTGTGAAAGATAGTCGCCAGGAGTATCAACAGGAACTAATCTCAAGGAATCTAACATTTGGTCGTCAATGGAGACTGACTGACGAAGTTCCTCCTGTGGTGGGACAGTCAGTAAGATAGAAGGCTCCGGGGAGGGTTGGGAAACCTTTCTTTTTATATTGTTTGATATTTCAAATATTTCAAGTGGTTCAGCTGGCACAGGCAGAGTGTAGGACCTCTCAGTAGCCAACAACTCCTGGGTCTGTGCCGAGGTTGTCTTTGAGTCATCGGGGAAAACAAACTTTTCCTCAAAGACTAATGCGTTGGGAGATCTGATGCTTGGAACTTTCTCATAGATGGAAAGACTGTCCACGGAGCGGTCAGAGTTGGATGATACCTCAAGCTCTAATAACGAGGTTGGGACAGCTACCACAGGACTGATATCTGGAACAAGAAACAGCGTCGAAGGCTGTTTATGAAGGACGACAGTATCCAGCATTTGTTCACCTGTCGGAGTTGCATCCTGGAGATAAAGTGGTTCAGGGATGACCTCAGAGGTTCTTGGAGAATCTTCAATAATAACTATTGACGTTTCGGGAACATTTTCAACGGGTGGGATAATTGGCAATGCTTGTGGCAACTCGTTGATAGCCACGAAGGTTTGTGAAGCGAGTGGGTCAGCTGTTAGAGAGGCAAAATCTGTGAGTGGAGTTGACCTCTCACTATCAATGGGCTCAACGCTGATAACCTCTGTATCAACCGGGGAATCCTCCACAGTAGTCAGGTGAAGGGCAAATGGAGGTTCCAATTCCCTCACATAATTCACTGATGCTGATGAAAGGACTTCCACGTTATCAGCGGCAACACTTGTATCAAGGAGGAGCTGTGGCCGACTGGATTCCGAGAACGAGCTCAAAGTGTCTACCGGTGTTTCAGAATTCATGTAAAACTGAGTTGAGGAAGCAAGAGTTGACGGGGAATCAGGAGACTCAATTGAACGGATGTCAGGATGTGAGTAAGCAAAGTCAGCGGAGAAACTAGGCGTCACAGAGGAGGCAGAAGTAGCTACAGATGAAGAGTCTAGGGGCGTCACAGTCACTTCCTCGCCAGCTGCAGGAACAAATGGCGCGAACATTGGCTCTACAGATGGTGTGGCTCTGGATGTCTCTTGGAGTTCAGCTTCTTTGGTAAATGTCGACTCAACTTTAACAGGAACAAGAACCGGAAACTGTGTCTCTGTGTTAATGTTTAGAGTTGTTGTTGTTGGGGCCTCACTCATCTCAGGGCTTATGGTACTTTCTTGTTCTGGGACTTCTTCCTCTTCTCCCTCACTTATCTCAGCACCTTCCTCTTCTCCCTCTTCTCCCTCGCTTACCTCAGCACCTTCCTCTTCTCCCTCTTCTTCCTCACTTACCTCAGCACCTTCCTCTTCTCCCTCACTTATCTCAGCACCTTCCTCTTCTTCCTCTTCTTCCTCACTTACCTCAGCACCTTCCTCTTCTCCCTCTTCTTCCTCACTTATCTCAGCACCTTCCTCTTCTTCCTCTTCTCCCACGTGTTCTTCTTCTTCAGGTCTCACTCCGTCGCTGCTCTCTGTTGTTGGTTCAGCGTCAGTCTCAGTGTTTTCCGTGACTGTGTCGAAACTTTCTTCCACATACGAATTTAGTTCATTGGGGTCAACAGTTGTACCTTCTCCTTCCTCACCCTCTGTTCCTTCCTCTTCCTCCTCTTCTTCGTTCCCCTCGTCTTCCTCCTCCTCCTCTTCTGCTTTCACCTCTTCCTCTTCTTCGTGCCCCTCTTCCTCCTCCTCTTCTTCGCTCCCCTCTTCCTCTTCTTCATCCTCTTCTTGCTCTTGTTCTTCGGTCTCTTCTTCTTCCATTTCTTCTTCCTCTTCAGCGCCTTCTTCTGTGTTGACCCTCTCTGTGGCTAAACTTGGGTTAGCCTGTGCTGGCGGCTCTGTGGTATCGATGTCATCTACGAGTCTGAAGCCCAGATGGTCAGCGATGTAGGTCACTTCCACCACCTCACCATCTGGCGCCCTCCACCTGCCGATACCAAAGACATGTTATTGTGGTCTGCTGTTGTGCCACCTGTGTGATAAATACTCCCCAAATTACACACACACACACACACACACACACACACACAGAAAATGGTTAACCCTTTGAGTACCATGACTTAACCCTTTGAATACCATGACTTAACCCCTTGAGTACCATGACAACTCTTTGAGTAACATGAATTAACCACTTGAGTACCATGACTTAACCCTTTGAGTACCATGATTTAACCCCTTGAGTACCATGACTTAACCCCTTGAGTACCATGATTTAACCCTTTGAGTACCATGACAACCCTTTGAGTAACATGACTTAACCCTTGAGTACCATGACTTAATCCTTTGAGTACCATGACTTAACCCTTTGAGTACCATGATTTAACCCTTTGAGTACCCTTTGAGTACCATGATACCATGAGTACCCTCCATTTGAGTACCATGACTTAACCCCTTGAGTAACATGACTTAACCTATTGAGTACCATGACTTAACCCTTTGAGTACCATGATTTAACCCTTTGAGTACCATGATTTAACCCTTTGAGTAACATGACTTAACCTATTGAGTACCATGACTTAACCCTTTGAGTACCATGATCTAACCTCTTGAGTACCATGACTTAACCCCTTGAGTAACATGACTTAACCTATTGAGTACCATGACTTAACCCTTTGAGTACCATGATTTAACCCTTTGAGTACCATGATTTAACCCTTTGAGTAACATGACTTAACCTATTGAGTACCATGACTTAACCCTTTGAGTACCATGATCTAACCTCTTGAGTACCATGACTTAACCCCTTGAGTAACATGACTTAACCTATTGAGTACCATGACTTAACCCTTTGAGTACCATGATTTAACCCTTTGAGTACCATGATTTAACCCTTTGAGTAACATGACTTAACCTATTGAGTACCATGACTTAACCCTTTGAGTACCATGATTTAACCTCTTGAGTACCATGACTTAACCCTTTGAGTACCATGATTTAACCCCTTCAGTACCATGACTTAACCCCTTGAGTACCATGACTTAACCCCTTGAGTACCATGATTTAACCTCTTGAGTACCATGATTTAACCTCTTGAGTATCATAACTTAGACTTACTCGTATTCTCCCCTGACTGCTTGTCCTGGGGTGCCGTTCTGCTCGTTCTCCAACCCATCCTTCTCGTAGTGAAAGACGCTGTGTGGACGAGCAAGTGTCCCCACCAGGCATCCCACCACCGTCAGCACCGCCACCTGTGTGTAGGGAATACCAACAACCTTCAGCGATCATAAAATATTGGAGAAATATTCCTAAGATGGTGTAGTACGAGACAGAGAGAGAGAGAGAGAGAGACAGAGAGAGAGAGAGAGAGAGAGAGAGAGAGAGAGAGAGAGAGAGAGAGAACTAGAATGAACTAAAGTATCAACAGATGGAAAAAAATGAAGGGTAGAAAGCTTACTAACTGGATATAAGAACAAAAATAAACACACACACACACACACACACACACACACACACACGCACACACACACACACACACACACACACACACCTTTCAATTGAAGAAATAAGAACATGATCACTCATCTCTCTATAACATCTACGAAAGGGTATTGTAATACTTCACCTGAACATATACATCACTGAACCAGTAAATTCGTACATGAAATAAAGTATAGCACCTTGAATACCGAGATAGAATGAAGACTTAGCAACACTGCAAGCAAGACAAAACCGAAGCGGATTATATTATATTAAGTATCATTTTAAAACCCTGAAAGATAAAGATAGCTTAAAGCCGCGACCATTTAGAATTGTAGAATATTACAAAGACACGAAACTTCATCTGTCATCTCACCTGCTGTACCCAGGAACCAAGAACTGGGTTAAACTTTAATTAAAACTTTGGACACTGTAATCAGAAGTAACTAGAGGACCCTGAACAAGTTACCAGGTTATCTCCACCACCAGGGTCGCCTCCTATAGAAGTTGTGGCCACAGTTACCGAAGTAATAAAATGGAGAGAAAAAGAGAGAGACGACTAATATTCTAAGGAAGTATAAGCTAAGGTAAGAAAGATACACTAATATGGCGTGTGTCTGTCATGGAAGTCATAATGTTTTTTAGTAATACTTGATATTGTTGACTCAGGTGCGTGGGTAACTCGTGAGAGCTGCGTACGACGGGATATTATAAATACTATTAATATCTAACTCATTTACCAAGGTGAGACTTCTATAAACTCATTACTCTTTCAGAATTGTTGAAGTTAATACAAAATTAAAGTCAGCTGCACCCGCGGAATCCCAATTATATTATCCAATGTCACAGCCAATACGAATCATTCAAAAAACAAAAGAATGCTAACACGGTCGAGTTTGTTAAGTCTTATTATATATATTGTTGTCCTTAACATAGTTTTACTTTGTCTTTGTCAATGTCAGGATTATTGAGATCACAAAAAGGCTTCCTATTATGCGAGACGGGAATCACCAAGGTAAACGGGATCCTTACTGAGGCTCGCGGCAGGTGATAATAAACCCTGGACCCATTTCCAGCACCGCTCGCCGAGGGTATAAAAACATTTCTTATTATATCACTCTACATCAAAGCGTTAAAACACAATTATTCAACTCGGCACAATAAATAACTTATGGATTAATATAAATTTAGTTTATAAAGGAAATTGCAAATTAAATTTATATTTCGATAAATTTCCTTCGTACAGTTTCCAGCACAGATGACGTCACACTCACCCACTTCATGTTAGCACTCCACACACACACACGCACTGCCTCCCTGGCCTCCTCCACTGTCTTATATACCTTACCTTGCCACGCCCATTACCTTGTCGAGGACGGTGTTCTAGTATTCCGTTCTTACCGACAGTTTTTTGTGGAGCAAGAGTTTTTGTGGCGTTCGTAGAGATGATAGTCACTTGTGTTTCGTATTTTCTCGCGTTACACCGTGAAGGTCACCACAAGTAGCTGCTATTGTTGCTACGAGATCCAATAGTATCGATGTCAGAACAGAATCCCAGACATATCTCTCTTAATTATAATTGTTGATAACTAGCGTATTTACCATTAAAAATACAAGCTGAAACGCCCACTGTAAGTTATGGAAGTATAGTAATACATTTATATCAACACCTGCTTGCGATAAAATTTTCCCCAAATCGTCTAGTACCGCGTAGTTTCTTGTTAATATTTACGTAGGTGTTAGCTATGCTTGTAGGGGAAATGAAAGCGAGATCATTGGTGTGTTGTAGTGGTAAATATTCCCCCAGAAGATACAAGTTGTATATAACACTAAATTCAACAAGGCAGTAAAGCGTATCCGCGTATTGTGTCCTTTCAACATAACCTCGCGCCTTCACTATGAGTATTTACATGCAGACACGTCGATTATTATTATTATTATTATTATTATTATTAGTAGTAGTAGTAGTCGTAGTAGTAGTAGTAGTAGTAGTAGCAGAGGTCGGAGGCGGAAATATCTGTCGCCCAAGGTGCTGGTCACTATGCCTGGCAACAGTCTTTGCTGCGTCTGTGCTAGCCCGAACCAAAACTGCACAAACTGTTTTTGTGCGAGAAACAACCGTTCATGTGTGGATTGCAGGAAGCTAGACCAGTGTCGGAACCCACGTGGCAGGGAGCCGACACAGGCGGCCACAGTGGATATCGCCGGGACCCAACCACCCGATGATATCCGAAATGATAGCAGTGAGTCTACTCAACCCGAAAATGTAGTACTAATAAATGCTGTTCCCTCAGTAGCAGGTGTCCAGGTGGAGAATGAGAGACTGCCGCCTCAGTGGAAAGGCATGTCGATGGAAAATGCAGGCGTATGGGTCAAAGAAACCTATTCAGAAATTGTCAAGTGGTCGCCCGCTAACTTATTTGAACCACCCAAGTGTGCGGCCACCAAAGAAATGATTCGGGAGATGACTTTCTTCATGACCGATTACACTCAGGACCGCTTCCTCGCCCCCCTAGCTCTTCAAATACTGGCAATAATACCACATCTATTTTGTCAGAGGACACACACAAGGGCTAAGCACAAAGAAAATGTGGCAGCAATGAAGAGAAGATCGACAATGTGGCGGACTGGGGCCCTAGATGATCTCCTATGTGAAGCAAGAACACTGCAGGAGAGACTAAAATCTACGGGTGACGGAAAACAAAACACCGATGACGTGGCAAGAAAATTTGGAAACAAAATGCGTGTGGGAAAAGTGTCTCTCGCGGTAAGATCTCTCACTCAGGAATCTTCCGGTGGGGTGATGCCAATAAACAGAGCGACTTTAAACCTACTGAAAGAGAAACATCCCCCTGCAAGTGAAGTTGAAGGCATTAGGCTCCATGGTGACTATATCCCACCAAATGCTGTCCTGTTCGAGAAAATAACAGGAGAGATGGTGTGGAAAAAGGCACTGAAGACTCGTGGAGGAGCCGGCCCTTCAGGTCTGGATGCAAACGGTTGGAGAGTCATCCTCAGCGCAAACAAGTTTGGCCCTGTAGCAAGCGATCTCTGCACTGCCATTGCCGCCCTTGCAAGAAAGCTTGCATCCTCTTGCTGCCATCACCTCCAGCCCCTGACGGCCTGCCGCCTTATTCCTCTGGAAAAGAAACCAGGATGTAGACCTATAGGGGTGGGGGAAGTGCTGAGGCGGATTATCGGAAAGTGCATGATGGAGGTGGTAAAGGACGATGTCAGGGCAGCAGCAGGGAACCTACAAGTGTGTGCTGGCCACCAGGCTGGTGGGGAGGCGGCCATTCACGCCATGAGATTGATATTCGAGCAGCGTGATTGTGAGGCCGTTCTCCTGGTGGATGCTTCAAACGCATTCAATATACTTAACCGCAAGGCTGCACTGCACAACATCAAGATCAAGTGTCCTAGCTTTGCGATGTATGTTGAAAATTCGTATAGGAATCCATCAGACCTCTACATAGTAAACAACAAGGCTCTACGAGGTGATACCATCCTGCAGTCGACCGAGGGAACAACACAGGGGGACCCTGTTGCAATGGCAATGTATGCAATTGGCCTATCGGTGCTCCAACAAGAAATAAAGTTTGAAACAACTGGGGTCAAACAAGTGGCATATGCTGATGACCTCACAGGAGCAGGAAAAGTGGAGGACATCAAAAAGTGGTGGGACCTGGTAACATCGCGAGGTCCACAAATAGGGTACCACCCAAACGCCAGTAAATCCTTCCTCATCGTGAAGCCAGATCATTATGATCGGGCTTTGGAGGTTTTCGGCGAAAGTGAGGTCAAAATAACTAAGGACGGCCAAAGACATCTAGGCGCAGTGATTGGCACTACGGACTTCAAGACCCAGTACGAATCGGGAAAGGTGAATGAGTGGGTTAGCGAAATCCAAGCTCTATCGGAGATCGCTAACACAGAGCCACATGCGGCCTTTGCAGCATTCACCCATGGAGTCAAGCAGCGTTGGAACTACCTGATGTGTACCATCCCTGAGATCGGACCCCTCCTCCACCCTTTGGAAGAAGCAATCAGTGTCAAGTTCATTCCCAAACTAGTGAAACACCCTGACTTAACCCGAGCAGAAAGAACACTTCTTGCACTTCCACCAAGACTGGGAGGGATGGGACTAACTAATCCAGAGGAGATTGCTGACTCTGAACATCAAAATTCACTTAAGCTCACGGCAGCCCTCACTGACCACATAATAGCCCAGAATGCAACAGGGGAAGTGGACACCAGCGAAGTTAATAAGATCCGTAGGTCCATTACAACAGATCGGCAGCACTGCCAAAATGACATGTTGCAGCAACTATTGCTGCTGGTTCCAGAAAATTTGACAAAAAAAGTTGCTATAGCGCAGGAGGTGGGCGCCTCGAACTGGTTAACTACGTTACCGATAAGGGCAAATGGTTTCAGCCTTAACAAACAAGAATTTACAGATGCCATTGCTCTAAGGTACGGTTGGCCAGTAGATGGTTTGCCCTCCCAATGCGTGTGTGGCTCTCCCTATGATGGCGATCACGCCATGGTCTGCAAGAAGGGGGGCTTCATATGCATGAGGCATGACGAGGTAAGGGATCTCACAGCAAATATGTTGAAGGAAATCTGCCGGGACGTCATGGTAGAACCGACCCTCCTTCCACTGGATGGCGAGATCTTCCAACATAGGACTTCAAACACTTCTAACGAAGCCCGTGTGGACGTCAGTGCTCGAGGATTCTGGACGCGGGGACAGCGAGCTTTCTTCGACATCAGGATTTTTGATCCCATGGCCGTTTGTCACCGTAACCTAGCTCTCGATGCTGCGCATAGGAGGAACGAGAACGACAAGAGAAGGGCATACGGGGAGAGAATACAAAATGTTGATCAAGGCAGCTTCACTCCTCTAGTGTTCACAACCTCGGGTGGGATGGGCCCAAGTGCAAGATGTTTCTACGCCAGACTCGCGGAGCTGATCTCCGAACAGAAGCAGCAGCCCAGAAGTTATGTTACAGCCTGGATGAGATGGCGACTGTCCTTCTCTCTCCTTCTGTCGGCTTTGCTCTGCCTCAGGGGAACGAGAGCTTCCGCCCCTACTCCGACAACTGCTGCAGATATTGACTATGAGGCTACAGTCACTGAATGCCGCATAGATCTGCAGCTCAACTAATTTAACACAGATAGGATAGCTTCTTATGTATTAGGATATTTAATATTAAGGTAAATAAATGGTGGCGAAGGTGTGGCTATTGGGGGAGGCTGGAGATAGTAGTAGTAGTAGTAGTAGTAGTAGTAGTAGTAGTAGTTGTTGTTGTTGTAGTTGTAGTAGTATTGCCGCTATTATAATTATTATATTAGTAGTACTGTATTAGTATTATTGTTAAAAGATCACCCCCTCATACTATCACCAAATAACGCCTCAACTGTTCACTTTACATATCATCAACTAGACGTTAGATTAGGTTAGGTTAGATTAGATTAGGTTAGGTTAGGTTAGTTTAGCTTAGGTTAGCGGTAAAGTTGTTAATTATGAGGTGAAATAAGCAGGGGCTTTAATCTTCGGGTGATTCAATTATTAACTACCAGACTACACTATGAACGAGACCATTAGCGAGTAAGAGGAGGACGGCGCGTGAACGACAAAAAAGAAGACCGCGGTTCGCTTTGGTCAACCTTGTGTGTGACTGCCGTTCTTGACCCTACCTCTCTCTACCTCTCTACCTCTCTCCCTCCCTACCTACCTGCCTCTCTACCTCTCTCCCTCCCTACCTACCTGCCTCTCTGCCTCTCTCCCTCCCTGCCTACCTGCCTCTCTACCTCTCTCCCTCCCTACCTACCTCCTCACCTCTCTCTCCCTCCCTCCCTATCTCCCAACCTCCCTCTCTTCATCTCTACCTCCCTGCCTCTCTCCCTCCTACCTACCTACCTTCCTATCTCCCTCTCTCCCTTCCTACCTCTCTCCCTCTCTACCTACATCTCTACCTCTCTACCTCCCTCTCTCCCTACCTCTCTACCTCCCTCTCCCCACCTCTACCTCCATACCTACCTTCCCCCTCTGCCGCCCTACCTCTCTCCCCCCTCCCCACCAACGTATCTACCTACCTACCTACCTACCTACCCACCTACCTACCTACAAGGTTAACCTATTAGGGTGGTGAGTGAGGTAATACTGGATACTTGGTCAAGGTGACGATGGCAACCCGACCATGACGGCGTAAGTATGGCAACATGATTATGACAACGTCAATATGGCAACATGATTTTGATAACGTATGTATGATGACGTTAGTATGGCAACCTGTTTTAATAATGTAT